GCAAAAGAGTTTTAGAAGATGTATTTAGTTGTTCAGTTTCAGTAGTTAAGGTTATAGAGATATCAATTTCCATATTTGAGGAAGTATTTTTTGTAGGAATAGATACTGTTAAAGTAGAAGGTGTAGTTTCTGGTTGAGTGTTAAGTAAGGCAATTGTTGAGGTAATAGAAGTAGTAGTAGGTTTTGTTTGGTTTAGTAGAGGTATTTTTTCCTTTAAAATTTGGTGTTTTTGGTATATCGATTTCTATATCATTATTTGAAGTTGTTTGTGAAGTTTGGTTTTCAGTATTTGTATTTAGTATTGAGTTTTAAGTTAAGTTTGTTTGTGTTAGAATAGTAAGGTCAATTTCCATTTCTAATAAAATTTCTTTAGTGTTAGTAGTCATAGTAGCTAGAAGAGATATTTTATTGTTGTCTGTTGGTGTTAGAGAGGTTAAAGAAAGAGTAGGTAGATTTTGGAGTTGTTGTTGTTTTTGGAAAGTAGTAGTTAAGTCTTTTCTAGTAGAAAGAAAGTCATAAGTTGCAGAAGATATAGAACTAAAGTTAGTAGAAGAAGGTAAATTGTTAGTGTTGTTCTTTAAGAGGCAAGCATAATAATATGCTTCATTTTCATAGAAGGTAGTATCATTATTTAGTTTATAGATATTGTTAGTAAGTTTACATTTAATTACAAGCCAACATTTTGAACAAGTATGTTAGCAGAAGTTTGGTGTTGGAGATAGTAGAATATTTTCAGAGCTTTTAGTAAGGTTTTGTAAGAGGACTTTAGCTTTTTTGTTATTCACATTCACTGCATAGGTTGTAAAGTTAAAGAGATAGATATTATATTCTTTGTTAGTTACAGAGGTAAAGTTAATATAGTAGAGGCTACATAGGCAGTAGACAGTTGCAGAAATTTTAGGAGCAAGTACAAAATGAGTAATTTTTACATTGCTTTAAAGGATTTTAGTAAGACAAGTTATCAGTTTACTTTTAGAAGGAATTGGAGAGATAAGTAACTCTTTCCATAGATCACTTGTACCAAAACTTCTTGCAAACATTTTATTATTACTCAAAATTCTATTAAGTAAACT